ACGTGTATGTGTGTGTGTGTGTGTGTGTGTGTGTGTGTGTATGAAATGCCAGTCAAATGTTTCTGAAAAATCTTACCACAAAAAATAATTTTCATTATTTGAAATATGTCAAATTAAATTTTCTGTTCATATTGGTGTTTTCCATTTTAGATCATTATGATAAATGTTCAATTGAAAGAACTAGCATTTAGCCTCAAGGTGACCTGAATTCCTCTCTCATTAAACATGTCCATCAGTTTTGATGAAATATCTTTCTTATTGCTCCATGCAGATGCAAATATTGTCTTTGCTTCTCTGAGATCTAGGATGCAAATGATGATCCTCAATGGGAAGCTTCGTTTAGTGGGGATTAGTGTATGATAGTGTGACAGACGACTAGATCTATGGAAGAAATGAGTTTCATGTGTGCTTAGGATGACTATAACTCTAGTGAGTGGGATGTTTGTGTGTGTGTGTGTGTGTGTGTGTGTGTGTGTGTATGTTCTTATCCCTATCCCTGTCACTTTCTCCACATGCCACCCATCCCCCATGAGCCTGTTTAGCTTGTGACTTCTGTCTGTGGTCCGTGTGGCAGTCAGCAGCACAGTCCTCACCAGCCTGCGTTTCTGTTGTGCTCTTCCGGCTGGTTGTAATGGGTCTCTGCTCACCACTCCATCCGTGTTCTCTTGCATCCTTTTGTACAATGTGCTTTGTTTGATGAGCTATAGTTTAATCCAGACAGACAATAAAAGCCCTGGGGCGTTCTCATTCCTTTCATTCTGGTGTGGTCATTTTTATTACTGCAAACACATGTTCTCTAAATGCATATTACAGTAAATTTCATATGGCTTGGGAGTTTTCACATATTTCTTTTCTTTCTTATATAGGCACTGCCATGGTGTACTTTTAAGACCATGGGGAAAAAATAAGAACAATTTTTAAGTGCTTTGAAACACTTGGATGTTTGACCTTTTCTTGACAAATCATCTGAATAATTCTCTTAAGTTTATCCTCAGATTATGATAAGCCACCAGAAAGTTATGTATTTTGGCAAAATTGTCTTGACATTCCATTTTTCAGCTCCCCTGTGGAATGCATTTCACCAAGCAGAATTTTGTATTTTTATTTTGGGCTTTGAGACATGAGTAATGATAGAAATGGACCATGTTCCTTTACTTATAGGAACGCTGGGAATAATTACCATCCAAAACATAGAGAGGAAAAGTATTATCTACATCTCAGATAACTATAATGTTACAGCACCTAAGTTTCTTTCTAAGTAGTATGGAATAAAGGAGAATACTTCAAAGAAAATAACAAGTAAAACTACCTGATCTCTAATTTATTCCTTTATGTGCCTGATCACACAAATGCTAGCTTGCTAATTTTTTTTTTTTTTTTAACATTTAGAGAAGTGGCATTTGGATAACCTGTCATTACTCTGGTCTTTTTCACACAGTGAAGCTCCACTTTTAATGGACAGATCACATTTTCTTTGAAACTATTGATCATGTTAATGATCATGTTTAATATATAGAATTCGAGCTTAGAAAACCTGATCTTCCCCCTTTAGACCTGGTAGATTCATAGTCTTTGGACTAGCTGAGCTAAGTCATATGATTAGAAAAACCAATAAGAAGTTTAAGAAATACTAATTAATATATATGCATTGCTTTTAACATAGACTATTTAATATTTTAACTCAATATTTTGGGTTATGGTCAAATTGTATTTGAGATGTGAAATAGGGCAAAGAACACCAAGTTAGACTCCTGTAAGAATAGCCTGTGTGGTAAAAATCAACCTAATTTTTATCACTTAACACCAGAGAACTCTTCTGTGGACAAATAAAAATCAAAAGATAAAACTCAGATTCAGTAGGTTAAAAAGATATGCTGAAGATGAGTATTTTAATACTCAATTAAAACTTTAAAGTTTATACAAGTGGTGTTTCTTCATATGATAGAATATAGAAGATATAGACAAAAACAAATGTTTTATGCAGAGCTAATAGTACTTTTGATATATCTGTAGATATGTTGGCACTCATTTTGTCTTGTAAAATACATGTTGTTAGTTTTCTGGGTCTGCTATAACAAAAGGCCCAGATTAGGTAATTTAAATAACAACAAAAATATTTCTTGCACTCCTACAGGTTAGAAGTTCAAAATCAAGGAGTGAGGGGGTCTGATCCTTTGTTGCCCTAGAAGTTGCTGTTTTTTGGTTGTGTTCTCACACATTTCTCATGTGTTTTACTCCTACACATTTTCCTATTGTGTATCCTAATCTTTTTGTAAAAGTGCACAGTCATGCTGACGTAAGGGTCATTCGTATGAACACGTTTTACATTGACTACCTCTTCAGAACCATAATACTGCCTCGAATAAGTCACATTCTGAGATACGGAATGACCTCAATATATGAATTTAGGGATGCATACAATTCATCTCACGAAAGTCAAGCCATACATATTTATTTTCAAGTTGCCTTTCTTTTTATAAACATGATAGGAAAGGTATTTCCATAATGAAAACAAATTTTGTCTAAAACAATGTGTTTAGGGAGCACACTGTCATTGCATGTACTTATTTAAAAAATGTGAAGTGAATCAATTCCCCTTATGTCTACTCCTCTAAATTGTTTTAATTTCTTTTTGCTGCTATTTTAAACATTGCTTTAATGAATATCCTTATAATAAGATACTTTGCAGCAGCCTAATTATGTTCATAGCTTAATTTTCTTGAAGTGAAACTGCTGAGGCAAGTAGAATATTTCAACAGTATTGAATAATCTTTATCAAATTGCCAAAATATTGTAGCTATTTAAACTCATATGAGTGACACAGAAGAGTTCACACCTCTTCTTCCAAACTTCACTAATATTGAATGTTACTATCTGAAAATCAATACTTTGGGAGAATAGGCTTTTGTGTTTCAAGTTATATTTCTTTGATTATTACTGTGGCTGAGCTCTTTGTTCATAAGTTGATTCATCATTTCTATTTATTTTGTAATTTTCTGTCTTCTGTCCACTTTAAAGTAACATTCTATGACCTCAATCTTTTACATTTATCCCTTTTACCTAGAATTTATTTTATTTTGTTTTATTGGGTTCCAACATTGTATAGTGAATGATTATTTCTATAATGCAACAGTTACATATATTTGGGATCTCATGTTATTTTTTCTTTTACTTATACATTTTGATAAAGTTACATGTTTTAACTTATAGATATGTGTGTTTTTAGTATAGGTAAATATTGTTCTATTTAAAAATTATCTTATTTGCTATCATGCCTTTAATATTTTACATGAATTTAAGAATCATTATATTAGTTTTCCAAATAGCAAAATTCAAATTAATTTTCTTTATATTAAGTGTTCATGTAAATCTAGGATTGAACTTAGGTTATTAGCACTCAATTTAGGATTCTTTCAAATCTTTCCCTTTTTAATGCCAGTAGATGAGATGATTATATAATTATGTGCATGACCCTGAATACTTAAGCAAAATATTATTGGTACTTAGTTGTTTAAGCATAAGCTTTCAATTTTATAAAGGAGTTTAATGTTATTCTTTTCCTTGATGTTACTCTTACATTTATTCTGTTTTTCTGCCACAGCAGACTATCCCAAGTTACTCGCATAGACTATCTAACCAATGTTTATGTATCTTGTTTGGCAAGGGCTACCCTGATCATGCATACCTCCAAGTAATATACTTCAGGTGTCCCTTTCCATAATAGCAACTCTGAAGTTTACTAGCAACTCTTACCCATTTCCTCCTCTGTTGTACAAATGTATTACTTTTAATTAGCAATTGCTATACTAGACTATGATTCCTTGAATACTGAGGCTATATCTTAGTTGTTCACCATTATAGACCTAGCACTGTAAGTAAGTGTGTCGAAAGAATAAATGTTCAGTAACTAAGAATATGGTAATATTTTACATTAAACTAGATACCTGATGCCAATTAAATAACAGCTCTTAACTTCTTTGTGGCTTCTAAGGGTGTATGGTTCTGGCATTTGAGGAGTGACAGAGTCAAAGATAAGGAGTCTGCTGTCCCCTTCTCTGCTCTGAATGATGGATTTCCTTTTAACTAAATGAATAATAGCATCTGTGTCCTTCAGTGCTAGGAAAATAGCCAGAGTGTCATTCATTTTAGTACTGTCCTTATGAGACAAAAACCTTACTTTTATTAGAGAATTTTATATATGCAAATCAATATAGAGACTGATAGAATAAAGGGCAATGTTCAAATCTTTAAAATGACTACAATAAAAGATACTTTTCCTTCATGCCTCCTCAAATTACTTCTCCTTTCTTTGAACACACATGTTCTATTTTTCTTGCCACTTTCTGAAACAGTTCTGGAAATTCTTTTTTTTGTGACAGTCTTTGGTGATGCTGTGACTGCCTTAATATCCCGAATCAATTAAAACCTTTTACATTTCATGGTCATTTTGACTTTGGGGAGAAGCCAGGAGCTGTAGAGTGCCAGATCCACTGAAGGACATGGCTGAGGATGCACCGAAATGCTTACACTTGGCAACAGCATATTTTTCATCACACCTCATTATGAAACTCATGAAAGAAGACTTCGAGAACTGCTTCATAAAGTTTCAAGATGCTGGAGATATAGCTCAGTGGTTCTACTTTTGCTTGGCAAGTGCAAGGTTCTGAATTTGATTACACACACACACACACACACACACACACACAGATTTTGAGACTACTGAGACAAGTGTGTTCAAAGTTAGTATTTTGAGGGGGTTCATGGCTTTAAGTATGTGACACATTTTAAAAATTAAGACATTCACCGTATATTTCAACCACACATTGGACGTAGCTTTGCTATATTTCAGCAGTAATCACCCATTTCCTTCTTACTTTCCCACTGTGCAGTTGCTGAGGCATTTTGATGAAAGATCTTTGAGTTTGTCTGGGGCCAGATTTCCATGCTGGCATATTGCAGATGCCCCTGACTGCTGTGTGTGCTCATTCTCATTGCTGCAGATCTATGCCTATGTCTTTGAGAACATCAAGTCTGTCCAGCTGGAAGCTCTGCTCTTATCCTCGCTGAGCATCGTTGTGCTTGTTCTTGTTAAGGAGCTGAATGAACAGTTTCAAAGAAAAATTAAAGTTGTTCTTCCTGTCGATTTAGTTTTGGTAAGTATGAAATCAGCGGTTAGCTTTCTGCTGTACTGAGCCTGCCAGTTAGAGTAATCTACAGATGCTCACTGTAGCCTCCACAGTAACCCACATCTACTCCTGTGTCTCATTAAAGAAGGGCTAATTTGCGTGGCTATACATTAATGTAAGAACAGGAAACATTTTGAGTCAGTAATTTAAAAAAGGAGCTACATGTGTTTACAATTTAGGCAGCATTTCTCATATGCCTTTAGTTTTTTATATAAATAAGAGAATATAAATTCTCAGAACTTCTAAGGACACATTGCTAAAGGTGAGACTCAAAAGATCTGTAACGTGAACCTAGATAAAGCAATAAAATGTGATAACATGTCTCATTGATATGACGCCTCTTTGATATTCACAGAAATATTACCAATTGGCAAATGGCCATGGAAGTTTGATCGCTGCGTTCATACTTTTGTTATTGGCCTAATTTTGCCTCACTAAAAGGAGGCTTATGATTTTTATTGCTCAAAGTGACTCTTTAAAATATTTTCTGTTGTATTCAGAATAGCAATCTATCATACATTGATCCTAAGGCTTTTTGGATTAGAATCTGTTTTTTGAGATATTAGGTGCCTCTGTAGGAGCCCTTAAAGTATTCAAGTGAAAATGAAATGTTAGTGCAAACATAGTGAATTGTATCATTCACTGGTTTTAGTTTTTTAGTGGTTTTTGTATTTAAATAACTTCATGTATTAAACGTCCTTTATACTGTTAGATAGTGTAGACCTGTGTACATTTATTAAGTGTGGAATGTTTAAATCTGCTTCTGAAGAATATGACACATTTCTTTAGACCTAATATAGAAGACCTTTCTCTACGGCTAGCCAGTGCATGATGGTATTTTCCTGACCATTGGTTAAGACACATATTACATAAGTAGTCTCTGTGTGTATGTACTTCAAATATGTCATAAAAGAACAGAATACATAATTATTAGTTTCCATAATAGCAACTCTGAAGTTTACTAGCTTATTTTAAATGAGGTTATATTAGTTTCATAAAACCAAAGATTGAAAAAAAAACTTATGGAAAAAGGCTGCTGTGATATTAATAAAGCAGTTGTTATTCTTTGCAAAATGAGTAGGAATTATTCTTAAAATAAAAGGGTTTTTTTGTTTGTTTGTTTTTGTTTTTGTTTTCAGTGTGGCAGTTGCAAGGACCAGGCAAAATTAATACTAGAAAGCCATAGGTTTAAAAGTTATAAATAAAACATTAAATCACACAGTTTCTGATTTTTTCTACTTTAACTATGATACCTAAGTGATGATCTGGAAATCAGGTTAGGTAAAGAATTCTCTTACACCTTAGAGTTCTTTTGGAATGATGGGAGCCAGCCTCTAGGCTTGTTCCTTCTCTTCCCACTCTAGCTCCATCCCACTGTGTCCGTCACCTTTCCTGATGTTAAAAAAATATATAAAGTCCCTGCAGTTTACAGGAGAAGTTTAATTTGGCTCATGGTTGCCGTGGATTCAGGCCATGGTCTGCTGGCTCTGAAGCTGGGACTTCATGGCAGAAGATGTAGTGGGGCAAAGCTACTCCTTTCTTAGAGGTTGGGAAGCAGAGCAGGAAACAGTGCCAGAGAGGGAAAGTCCAGACCTAGGACATAGATCCCAAGGTCACTACTTGGTGGCCTGCCCACACATACCCAGAGACATTCCTGACTAATCTGCTAGGAGCTCCCAATCCAATCAGTTGCCAGTTAAGAACTATCACACACACACATCCATAAAGGAAGTCACATCTATACATGTGACTCTCTGTCCCAGTTCTAAACACCAAACACCTGCTCACTCTACCACAACACTCCCCTGGCCTCCCTTGGGACATGAGGAAGATGCCTGGAGCAGGCTAGATGTCATCTGGGCAGAAATGAAGGATTCTTGTGTATTCAGAATCAGCAAGATTGGAAAAGGTTTGAGTTGTGCAATCCTTCTGCTCCTCTCTCCCTGCAAAGCTCCCATTTTAGAATGACCACATTTAGAGGTCTGAGCCCTCCTGGTTCAGGATTCTCCATTTTCCAGGATTGTGGATAGTATAGGTTTTATACACATATGTGACACTGACATAATACTGAGAGGGACCAATGACTCAACTGAAAAAAGAAATTTAATTATGTTAAAGAAATCTTGTGAGAAAGTAATATACAATATGAAATAATTCAATGACTCAGAAAATACCATTATTGTACCATAATATTTATACAGTTTAACAGTATAACCTGGGCAGTTTTGTTGTTTTTCTCTTTTTTGCAGTCATGAAGGATGTTTTTGTTTCCTTTTTTCTTTTTTTGCATTTGTTGCTTTTAAAGACCATTTGGTATTTTGGAAAATACTACAAATTCAGTAAAACATCCACAGAAATGAACAGATAGTAAAAGAACCAACAAAATGATCTTATGGGGCATTATTGTGAAAAATTTCATATTTTGCTAGCCTCACTTATTATTCTTTTTTTCTGGCCATGTATATATTACATATGCATTTCAATTAAATAATCAATTTATCTCTTTTAACAAAGAAACCACTGCAAACTGAAACCATAATCATGTGAAATTTCTAGTAACTATTAAAATTGTCAGAAGAAATAAAGGAAAATGGGAAAATGGAGGGAAAAATACTATGGAGGTATGGATTGTGAAAAAAAAAAAAAGCTGTTATTGTAAAATAACTGGCTCTGCAATGAATTTTAATGATGATTGTGGGCCCAGGCAGAGAGACCATGATCTTGATTAGCGCACCAGTGACAGAACGACACAGTCACAGAGACGCCACAGCACTGCTCCGAAGCCCTGAGGTGGTGCTGATGCTTTTCTTCAAGAAATGCAGAGCCATTCAGGGACGTTATACATCATCATTAACTAGTAAAATAGTTTAGGCGCTTCAATGCAGTGTCTCCTGTTCTTCAGAGCCTATGATCATGAGGACGAAGCAAAAGCATCCGGTCGTAGGAAGTATTCCCTGATGTCGTGAAAAGCAGGTATTTAGGCTGGATACTGGAGTCCTTATGCACTCGGGCACTGCCCAAACCCATATTCTGTATTTTCTCTTTCTTCAAGACTGGACAAAGCTGGGTTGATGTAATGTACAATATTAGAAAAGCCATATTGTTTGATATCATCTAAATTTCAGATTGTAAATTGTTAAAGTATTTTAAAAATGTTTGAAAGGTCAGTAATAAGTTGTTTTTCTTTTTTCAAATGGAACTACACAGATTATTGCAGCATCGTTTGCTTGTTATTGTACCAATATGGAAAGCGTATATGGATTAGAAGTAGTTGGTCATATTCCAAAAGGGTAATGTAGTCTTTTTTTAAAAATATATTATTTGTTTATTTGCTTGTTTGTTTTTAATGGAGGATGCAACTGGGATTAGATAGAGTGATATCTATTTTTTTCTTTCTGTGCCTATATAAGACAAAATTCTAATTAACTTCAATTAAGTAATGATTGAAAAAAATACTGTATTTGCAGAGAAACAGTAATTTCCCAGGGACAGCTCCATATGTCTGACTTGAAAAAATAGGAGATTCTCTTATTCCTAAGTAAACTGATAGAGTGTTTTATGTAGCATTGCTTCAGGCAAAAGATTTGGACAATATTTACAGAGAGTATTTGAAAAAATTGTGGGCACTGAATTTTTAAATTAGAAACATTGTATAAAATTTAATCATCTCTATTCCTCCTACATAGGAGTGTTCGCTTTCACATCACTCAGGATAAAAGTACACAGCATTATCTGAAATGACAAGCCCGCCGGCTGTGCTTACTTGCTAGAGACAGAAACATGGAGAGGGCCTGGCTTCACACCTTCATACAGCTTTTCTCTGGACTCTAGAGAGCTTTTGACAAAGAAGTATTTGTCCTAAGACAGAAAGAAACTTATTTTGAGACTGCTTTTTTTTTTTTTTTTTGCGGTACCGGGGATCAAACTCAAGACCTTGCACTTGCCAGGCAGGTGCTTATGCCGCTGAGCTATATCCGGGCTCAAAACAATTATTCTGAATAGAAGCTGAAAGAAAATGAAGACAAATTGTGGAGAGGAGAGTTATATTTTAATGGGCTATATAGACTGCACAGATAAATTTAGAACAAAGTTAACAGCTACTGGGTTCTCTAAATTTCTATTGTCCAACCCCCAGTTTTGGTTTTTAACTCCACTAAATTAAAAAAAACAAAACAAAACAAAACAAAAAAAAAACAAAAAAAAACAAAAAACACGAGGGCCAGCCAGGTAGCTCAGTGGACTAAAGCTCCTCCTAAGA